GTTTTCATTTATTTGATATTTTTCGTTTATTTTCAAAATGAGTCAAATAGCGCAAAAGATGAATAAAATGCCTGGATGTTCTCTCAAAAAAATTATCCAAAGTTTTCAATATTCTTATTCCACAGCAAAACCGGTTAATATCAATAATAATTTTTTCAAATGCTCTGTTCCAGAACTTGAAGAATCTACAAGTTTTGTATTTTTTTTTTTTTTTTTTGATATCTTGAAGGGAAAATCGGTTATCGTGGCAAAAAGTTTTACATTCTTTCAGTTCTGGAACAGACCAAAAATGAGTCGGGTACACTTAAAAAAGATTGTAATCAGCTGATAGCTTTACCTTACCATTTTTCACAAATCGTTCTTTCAATTGACTCATTTAAATTGCATAAGTAAATAAACACATACATATGTTTTCAACACGTATATATCTGATCTTTTATTTACAGGGCCCTGGATGGGAGTATGAAACCAAATTGCCTGCATGGGGAGCATCAGATTGGAAAGAGATAAACTAGGCGGATACATAAAATAAAACATCTACAAATTAAAACATTTGTTTTTTAATTCATTACTTATATTACAATTTATATTGTATGATAAATATCAAAACCCTATACAAATTTAAATAAATTCTGCAAAACAAGCAAAAAATTATAAATGTATAAATTTAAACTTGAAACACGACGATGACGTGGCTTGCATGCGTTCATGCAGTAAAACACCAACGATGTTCATTTCAAAATTGAACTATTCTTCATTCGTGGATATTTCCTGTCTATTATCAATCCTATTAACTTGGACAAGCGTAGGTTATTTGATGTTAAGCATTTGATGACCACTAGACAGTGTTGCCAGCATTGAGGAATTTTCCCCAATTGGGACGAAAAATTCAAGTTGGGGACTTAAGGACTTAGCGGGGATCTTTTTAGAAAATTGCGGAAATTGTGAGGATTTTTTTTTTAAATAAAAATTCTAACTACCTTACTTATTTTGATATTTACATTTGTCACACATACGTAACGCATCAAGAAAATACATTCCCCACTAACCAGATAAAGTTGTTATAATTTATACCAGATATAAGAAATGGATTTGCTATCTTGTTATCTCTTTCCATACTCTGTTTTTGCCTATAACACATACACATTGCGATTTGGAAAAAGAGTCTCGATTGCAGTGATGTCAAAAAAGGTATATTTGTAGAACAGTTACATTGATATTTGCAATGAAAGTGCTAAAAGTTGCATGATTGTTATACATAGAAGGTGCCAACCAGCAATGCATGTATAGAACGAGTTTTTTCAGTTATGAACTCAGTATGATTTGCGTGGTATTTTGTTTTGTCCACATCATAATTAAGGGCAGATTGATTTCAGAATAGTAAAAGGTTCTTTTACACCTATTACCGTAAGAGGGGAAATATTCTTTGTCATTTAAATTATGCGTCGGAGACCCCATAAAGTCCATATTTTTCATCATAGTACTTAATCACAATTAAACAAATTTTCGGTCCCGTGCTACTTTCTAATATTCGTATTTTTTCCTGTTTCTGCCACAATTTCCCACCCAATGAGTACCCATTTAACATTTCGGAGTTTATTCCATTTAAACGTACATTCCAAATCTACGTTCCCAACCAATAGTTTCTTGGGGTTTAGAATACAAAATTTTCTTTTCTGACCACACATCAGTCGGAAAAGTGGACTTGCGGGTACACTAATGTGGGAAAAAACCTAAATAAATGCCTATGTGACAATTATCCGTAAGATGACTCTCTACTCCAGGGTAACCTGAATGCAATTTTTTAGCCAAACCAATTAAAGAATGCGGTCAAGACCAATCTGAAAATTGAAAATTATATGCGAAGAGGTTTTCTACCCCTATAGAAACCAAGATGCCAAATAAGGGCCAAAAATATATAAAAGGGTCCAAGACCCCGAAAATAGCTTAAATCATATGATGGTTATACCAAAACATGATCATTTTTTGCAAGGATGGTTTCTTCTCAAATTACCAACATTTGCTGAAATTGTTATGAAAAATATGGTTAAAATGTAAAATATACTTTAAATCGGTTTGTACCCTTATCCGTGGGTTATGACCCATATCATGACCTGCAAAAGCGATTTAAAGTATCTTGAAAGTTTAGGAAAAATTTCTGGAAGAATAGAAATCCTTTTCTTACTAAATGTCCAATTCGATCTACTATTTTGCTCCCTTTATATTCGATAGTTCACTGATTGCATTTAACATCGTACTGCGCACTCATTTTATTTTTAATATTATTCATTTAGAATTCAAAACAATAAAAATGTACACTTCAGTATAGTATGTCAAATTAAAAAAATTCACGCCAAAAATATCTTTTTCATTCACATTTTTATTGGCATATTTTCACGCGATTTTTTTGTCATGATACCATTCCAAATTTGTATGAATTGCTAAAATCCGTCAAGCCGTTCTTGAGTTAAAAGCGTAGTATCTAACATAACTTTCTTTTATATGGTGAAAATAATTCTTTATTTTGTTCACAAAAAAAAACATTGAATTCAATATGATAAGCCAAATTGAAAAAAGAAAAAAAATCTTCAACTTGTTCGCGATTTTTTACAGCAAATGTTTAAAGGTCCTTACGAAGTTTGTCAATAGAATATACTATTATTTTAAAATTCGATGCCATTGAAAATTTTTCTCGATTTTTCCCCGATTTTAGAAGTTTTGCAATTATTTTCTTTTTTCGTGATTTTTTTTAGCTATTTTAAAGTAGTAATCATCCTATAACTTTGGTTTGACCGCGTTATATTATTTCGACATCATCTATTCAATCTCGCCACTACAAAATTCTGTACTACAATTCAATAACACCTCGAAATATACATTTTAGACATCATTCACCGGAAATTTGGTATTTGAAGTTCGTAATGGATACCTAAGACAGAAAATTGTCTGTGCAGGTCCACGTCTTCGTATAGCCCCCATATAACGGTACCTCCCCATATTGGATATTTTGGTGATTTCAGCGACATTATTCACCGATTTTTTTCAAGTTTCGTATTTGAATATTGTAATGGCTTATGATAAAAGTTGCCTTTGCAGGTCCACGTCGTCGTATAAACCCTAATATAAGGGCTACATTCGGTATTTTTAAGATTTTAACAGAATTTTTAACGGATTTTCTTTTTTTGAAAATTTCCAAATTCCTTGCAAATGGTGGACCGGCCCGACCGAACTTACAGCTTTTTTACTTGTTCTATTCTACGAAGGATGATATTTCCGTTTTTAAATATGATATATTATTGATATATTATTGAAAAATTACATTATATTATTTTGCCATGGCTTTGAATGTTTATCTACAATGTATCTACACTTTACAGAATGAAATTATTGTTACGACACAAATAACTGTTTATTAAATAAACAATAACAAGTGTAGTAGAACAATAACAAGTGTGTAGAACCTGCAAGAATGTACTGGTTTTGCAATTTTTTCGATATCACTAAGGAACACAGCAATTGTGTCTAGGTTTGTTGGTATTGCATCGGTCCAAGTTTTTATGTAGTCCCCATAAAACGGTATTTCGGTGATTTTAGCTACATTCTCTAACGGATTTGACTAAAATTTGCTATTTGTAGTTCGTAATGAGTTTAACCACCGGTGTCAGAACATTGTCTATAATGGTCCACGGCTTCATTTAGCTCTCATATAGCAACAGCCTGATACTCGGTATTTTGATAATTTAACTGCATCTTAAATACAGATACTTTTATTTATAAATGTTTTTTTCATTGCAAGATGAAGGATATAAAAAGTTCCGCCAGATCGATTTCTGTTGCACGCAAATGACTCAGTGATGCTATGTTGTCAAATTTAATGTGGCGTTCTTATAAATAACTTAAAAATACAGAATAAATTTGTTTCACATAATAAACAATCTTCGTTTTCATCATGGTCCAATAACAGTTTCGTAAAACTACATAAATACAGCCCTGAGGCTATGCTCGCATTCTGTCAGAATTTTTCAAAATTATAAGCAACAAGTTGTTTTCATTTATTTGATATTTTTTGTTTATTTTCAAAATGAGTCAAATAGCGCAAAAGATGAATAAAATGCCTTGATGTTCTCTCAAAAAAATGATAATCGGTTATCGTGGCAAAAAGTTTTACATCTGCGTGACGTTTTGCTTTGAAATGCGCATAATACTTTACATTTGGTCTGTTTTAGAACCTGCAAGAATGTACTGGTTTTGCAATTTTTTTCGATATCACTAAGGAACACAGCAATTGTGTCTAGGTTTGTTGGTATTGTATCGGTCCAAGTTTTAATGTAGTCCCCATAAAACGGTATTTCGGTGATTTTAGCTATATTCTCTAACGGATTTGACTAAAATTTGCTATTTGTAGTTCGTAATGGGTTTTACCACCGGTGACAGAACATTGTCTATATTGGTCCACGGCTTCATTTAGCTCTCATATAGCAACAGCCTGATACTCGGTATTTTGATAATTTAACCGCATCTTAAATACAGATACTTTTATTTATAAATGTTTTTTTCATTGCAAGATGAAGGATATTAAAAGTTCCGCCAGATCGATTTCTATTGTACGCAAATGACTCAGTTATGCTATGTTGCCAAATTTAATGTGGCGTCCTTAAAAACTTAACTTAAAAATACAGAATAAATTTGTTTCACATAATAAACAATCTTCGTTTTCATCATGGTCCAATAACAGTTTCGTAAAACTACATAAATACAGCCCTGTGGCTATGCTGGCATTCTGTCAGAATTTTTCAAAATTATAAGCAACAAGTTGTTTTCATTTATTTGATATTTTTCGTTTATTTTCAAAATGAGTCAAATAGCGCAAAAGATGAATAAAATGCCTGGATGTTCTCTCAAAAAAATTATCCAAAGTTTTCAAATGCTCTGTTCCAGAACTTGAAGAATCTACAAGTTTTGTATTTTTTTTTTGATATCTTGAAGGGAATATCGGTTATCGTGGCAAAAAGTTTTACATTCTTGCAGTTCTGGAACAGACCAAAAATGAGTCGGGTACACTTAAAAAAAATTGTAATCAGCTGATAGCTTTACCTTACAATTTTTCACAAATCGTTCTTTCAATTGACTCATTTAAATTGCATAAGTAAATAAACACATACATATGTTTTCAACACGTATATATCTGATCTTTTATTTACAGGGCCCTGGATGGGAGTATGAAACCAAATTGCCTGCATGGGGAGCATCAGATTGGAAAGAGATAAACTAGGCGGATACATAAAATAAAACATCTACAAATTAAAACATTTGTTTTTTAATTCATTACTTATATTACAATTTATATTGTATGATAAATATCAAAACCCTATACAAATTTAAATAAATTCTGCAAAACAAGCAAAAAATTATAAATGTATAAATTTAAACTTGAAACACGACGATGACGTGGCTTGCATGCGTTCATGCAGTAAAACACCAACGATGTTCATTTCAAAATTGAACTATTCTTCATTCGTGGATATTTCCTGTCTATTATCAATCCTATTAACTTGGACAAGCGTAGGTTATTTGATGTTAAGCATTTGATGACCACTAGACAGTGTTGCCAGCATTGAGGAATTTTCCCCAATTGGGACGAAAAATTCAAGTTGGGGACTTAAGGACTTAGCGGGGATCTTTTTAGAAAATTGCGGAAATTGTGAGGATTTTTTTTTAAATAAAAATTCTAACTACCTTACTTATTTTGATATTTACATTTGTCACACATACGTAACGCATCAAGAAAATACATTCCCCACTAACTAGATAAAGTTGTTATAATTTATACCAGATATAAGAAATGGATTTGCTATCTTGTTATCTCTTTCCATACTCTGTTTTTGCCTATAACACATACACATTGCGATTTGGAAAAAGAGTCTCGGTTGCAGTGATGTCAAAAAAGGTATATTTGTAGAACAGTTACATTGATATTTGCAATGAAAGTGCTAAAAGTTGCATGATTGTTATACATAGAAGGTGCCAACCAGCAATGCATGTATAGAACGAGTTTTTTCAGTTATGAACTCAGTATGATTTGCGTGGTATTTTGTTTTGTCCACATCATAATTAAGGGCAGATTGATTTCAGAATAGTAAAAGGTTCTTTTACACCTATTACCGTAAGAGGGGAAATATTCTTTGTAATTTAAATTATGCGTCGGAGACCCCATAAAGTCCATATTTTTCATCATAGTACTTAATCACAATTAAACAAATTTTCGGTCCCGTGCTACTTTCTAATATTCGTATTTTTTCCTGTTTCTGCCACAATTTCCCACCCAATGAGTACCCATTTAACATTTCGGAGTTTATTCCATTTAAACGTACATCCCAAATCTACGTTCCCAACCAATAGTTTCTTGGGGTTTACAAATTCAATAGAATACAAAATTTTCTTTTCTGACCACACATCAGTCGGAAAAGTGGACTTGCGGGTACACTAATGTGGGAAAAAACCTAAATAAATGCCTATGTGACAATTATCCGTAAGATGGCTCTCTACTCCAGGGTAACCTGAATGCAATTTTTTAGCCAAACCAATTGAAGAATGCGGTCAAGACCAATCTGAAAATTGAAAATTATATGCGAAGAGGTTTTCTACCCCTATAGAAACCAAGATGCCAAATAAGGGCCAAAAATATAAAAAAGGGTCCAAGACCCCGAAAATAGCTTAAATCATATGATGGTTATACCAAAACATGATCATTTTTGCAAGGATGGTTTCTTCTCAAATTACCAACATTTGCTGAAATTGTTATGAAAAATATGGTTAAAATGTAAAATATACTTTAAATCGGTTTGTACCCTTATCCGTGGATTATGACCCATATCATGACCTGCAAAAGCGATTTAAAGTATCTTGAAAGTTTAGGAAGAATTTCTGGAAGAATAGAAATCCTTTTCTTACTAAATGTCCAATTCGATCTACTATTTTGCTCCCTTTATATTCGATAGTTCACTGATTGCATTTAACATCGTACTGCGCACTCATTTTATTTTTAATATTATTCATTTAGAATTCAAAACAATAAAAATGTACACTTCAGTATAGTATGTCAAATTAAAAAAAATTCACGCCAAAAATATCTTTTTCATTCACATTTTTATTGGCATATTTTCACGCGATTTTTTTGTCATGATACCATTCCAAATTTGTATGAATTGCTAAAATCCGTCAAGCCGTTCTTGAGTTAAAAGCGTAGTATCTAACATAACTTTCTTTTATATGGTGAAAATAATTCTTTATTTTGTTCCCAAAAAAAAAAAAAACATTGAATTCAATATGATAAGCCAAATTGAAAAAAGAAAAAAAATCTTCAACTTGTTCGCGGTTTTTTACAGCAAATGTTTAAAGGTCCTTACGAAGTTTGTCAATAGAATATACTATTATTTTAAAATTCGATGCCATTGAAATTTTTTCTCGATTTTTCCCCGATTTTAGAAGTTTTGCAATTATTTTCTTTTTTCGTGATTTTTTTTTTAGCTATTTTAAAGTAGTAATCATCCTATAACTTTGGTTTGACCGCGTTATATTATTTCGACATCATCTATTCAATCTCGCCACTACAAAATTCTGTACTACAATTCAATAACACCTCGAAATATACATTTTAGACATCATTCACCGGAAATTTGGTATTTGAAGTTCGTAATGGATACCTAAGACAGAAAATTGTCTGTGCAGGTCCACGTCTTCGTATAGCCCCCATATAACGGTACCTCCCCATATTGGATATTTTGGTGATTTCAGCGACATTATTCACCGATTTTTTTCAAGTTTCGTATTTGAATATTGTAATGGCTCATGATAAAAGTTGCCTTTGCAGGTCCACGTCGTCGTATAAACCCTAATATAAGGGCTACATTCGGTATTTTTAAGATTTTAACAGAATTTTTAACGGATTTTCTTTTTTTGAAAATTTACAAATTCCTTGCAAATGGTGGACCGGCCCGACCGAACTTACAGCTTTTTTACTTGTTCTATTCTACGATCCAAACTGTAATAGCGATCTTTTACTTTATGTTGCAAATAGTGTATAGAAGACGGGTATTTCAAATTAAAAGGCTGCAAATGCGACATATTTCTCTATTTATGCCATGGAGAGAAAACGTTTCCTGTTTAATCCAACGCATAACAGTACGTGACATCCAACCAAATGCTCGATGTCTCGTCATGTGCTCGGTCAGACTCAAACCCATCGTCATAACACGCATTGACCAATAAATGAGGATGTTGAATAGTGTCATACAAATGTGTTCTTTCAAACAATAGCAAAAACATGATACAATAATCAATGAGAACGGGGATTCACAAAATGAGGAGGAAAACCCACGCTACCTGCATTTACGATTGCGCTTACGAATTCTTAGTAAAAATAATAATGTTCCTTAATAAAAAAATCCATTTGATTTCCAATTTTGATTATTGTGGAATACCATACATTTTTGCTCTGTTCCAGAACTGCAAGAATGTACAAGATATTATCGACAAACTTGCAAAACTAGTAGATTCTTGCTGTTTCTGAAACAGAGCATTTGTCCAACGTATACCTCTGGTATAAATTAAAAAAAATCTACTTTAATTCAGTTAAAAAAGAAGTTTAATAAAATATCAATAAAAAAACCTACTGTTTCAATACTGTTTCTGTACAAAATTACAAGAATACGCAAGTTTACAAGAAAAATATGAATTCATTCATATTTTTCATTTTATATTTCTAAATGTGTTTATTGCTTCACAATAACAACGCACGCACAAACTCTACTCTACCGTCGGTGTAACACACACACTCAATTTAAGCACACGTACACAAACGACACACTATTATGTTGATGACATGTTTCGCTGTCATTGTCGAAATACTGTTTTTTTTTTTTTTTTTTTTTTTTTTGAGAACACCATGTAAACAGTCGAGTAGATCATGCCATGGCCTTTGACAGTGACAGACATGAATCAAAATGGGGGTTGTTGATGGGTGCCAATGCCAATCAAATACTTAGCACACGATTGAGTAGACAAAGTCAGTGTGTCGTAAATAATACAGTTCGTACAATTCGTCTTGTGCTACTCCTTATTTCAAATCATAAATTATATTGCATTTTTTGTCACAGAAAACAAGTTTTGCGTAATTTTGGAAGGATGATATTTCCGTTTTTAAATATGATATATTATTGATATATTATTGAAAAATTACATTATATTATTTTGCCATGGCTTTGAATGTTTATCTACAATGTATCTACACTTTACAGAATGATATTATTGTTACGGCACAAATAACTGTTTATTAAATAAACAATAACAAGTGTAGTTGGAAATTACATAGCAGGTCTACTGGTGTCCGTCTGTTAAAAAACACCCAATCTGTGTGACGTTTTGCTTTGAAATTCGCATAATACTTTACATTTGCTCTGTTCTAGAACCTGCAAGAATGTACTGGTTTTGCAATTTTTTCGATATCACTAAGGAACACAGCAATTGTGTCTAGGTTTGTTGGTATTGCATCGGTTCAAGTTTTTATGTAGTCCCCATAAAACGGTATTTCGGTGATTTTAGCTACATTCTCTAACGGATTTGACTAAAACTTGCTATTTGTAGTTCGTAATGAGATTAACCACAGGTGTCAGAACATTGTCTATAATGGTCCACGGCTTCATTTAGCTCTCATATAGAAACAGCCTGATACTCGGTATTTTGATAATTTAACTGCATCTTAAATACAGATACTTTTATTTATAAATGTTTTTTTCATTGCAAGATGAAGGATATAAAAAGTTCCGCCAGATCGATTTCTGTTGCACGCAAATGACTCAGTGATGCTATGTTGTCAAATTTAATGTGGCGTTCTTATAAATAACTTAAAAATACAGAATAAATTTGTTTCACATAATAAACAATCTTCGTTTTCATCATGGTCCAATAACAGTTTCGTAAAACTACATAAATACAGCCCTGAGGCTATGCTCGCATTCTGTCAGAATTTTTCAAAATTATAAGCAACAAGTTGTTTTCATTTATTTGATATTTTTTGTTTATTTTCAAAATGAGTCAAATAGCGCAAAAGATGAATAAAATGCCTGGATGTTCTCTCAAAAAAATGATAATCGGTTATCGTGGCAAAAAGTTTTACATCTGCGTGACGTTTTGCTTTGAAATGCGCATAATACTTTACATTTGGTCTGTTTTAGAACCTGCAAGAATGTACTGGTTTTGCAATTTTTTTCGATATCACTAAGGAACACAGCAATTGTGTCTAGGTTTGTTGGTATTGTATCGGTCCAAGTTTTAATGTAGTCCCCATAAAACGGTATTTCGGTGATTTTAGCTATATTCTCTAACGGATTTGACTAAAATTTGCTATTTGTAGTTCGTAATGGGTTTTACCACCGGTGACAGAACATTGTCTATATTGGTCCACGGCTTCATTTAGCTCTCATATAGCAACAGCCTGATACTCGGTATTTTGATAATTTAACCGCATCTTAAATACAGATACTTTTATTTATAAATGTTTTTTTCATTGCAAGATGAAGGATATTAAAAGTTCCGCCAGATCGATTTCTATTGTACGCAAATGACTCAGTTATGCTATGTTGCCAAATTTAATGTGGCGTCCTTAAAAACTTAACTTAAAAATACAGAATAAATTTGTTTCACATAATAAACAATCTTCGTTTTCATCATGGTCCAATAACAGTTTCGTAAAACTACATAAATACAGCCCTGAGGCTATGCTCGCATTCTGTCAGAATTTTTCAAAATTATAAGCAACAAGTTGTTTTCATTTATTTGATATTTTTCGTTTATTTTCAAAATGAGTCAAATAGCGCAAAAGATGAATAAAATGCCTGGATGTTCTCTCAAAAAAATTATCCAAAGTTTTCAATATTCTTATTCCACAGCAAAACCGGTTATATCAATAATAATTTTTTAAATGCTCTGTTCCAGAACTTGAAGAATCTACAAGTTTTGTATTTTTTTTTTTTTTTTTTTTTTTGATATCTTGAAGGGAATATCGGTTATCGTGGCAAAAAGTTTTACATTCTTTCAGTTCTGGAACAGACCAAAAATGAGTCGGGTACACTTAAAAAAAATTGTAATCAGCTGATAGCTTTACCTTACAATTTTTCACAAATCGTTCTTTCAATTGACTAATTTAAATTGCATAAGTAAATAAACACATACATATGTTTTCAACACGTATATATCTGATCTTTTATTTACAGGGCCCTGGATGGGAGTATGAAACCAAATTGCCTGCATGGGGAGCATCAGATTGGAAAGAGATAAACTAGGCGGATACATAAAATAAAACATCTACAAATTAAAACATTTGTTTTTTAATTCATTACTTATATTACAATTTATATTGTATGATAAATATCAAAACCCTATACAAATTTAAATAAATTCTGCAAAACAAGCAAAAAATTATAAATGTATAAATTTAAACTTGAAACACGACGGTGACGTGGCTTGCATGCGTTAATGCAGTAAAACACCAACGATGTTCATTTCAAAATTGAACTATTCTTCATTCGTGGATATTTCCTGTCTATTATCAATCCTATTAACTTGGACAAGCGTAGGTTATTTGATGTTAAGCATTTGATGACCACTAGACAGTGTTGCCAGCATTGAGGAATTTTCCCCAATTGGGACGAAAAATTCAAGTTGGGGACTTAAGGACTTAGCGAGGATCTTTTTAGAAAATTGCGGAAATTGTGAGGATTTTTTTTTAATAAAAATTCTAACTACCTTACTTATTTTGATATTTACATTTGTCACACATGCGTAACGCATCAAGAAAATACATTCCCCACTAACCAGATAAAGTTGTTATAATTTATACCAGATATAAGAAATGGATTTGCTATCTTGTTATCTCTTTCCATACTCTGTTTTTGTCTATAACACATACACATTGCGATTTGGAAAAAGAGTCTCGGTTGCAGTGATGTTAAAAAAGGTATATTTGTAGAACAGTTACATTGATATTTGCAATGAAAGTGCTAAAAGTTGCATGATTGTTATACATAGAAGGTGCCAACCAGCAATAGTTGTGTTCCAGTACTTTTTAGTAGTAAAACTAGCAGAAGAGAGAACAGTTCGAAATGTCATTCTCATTTAGGTTTGCTCAAAAAATAAGGGAACGGAAAATTAGCAGAAATGCGATAAAATGTCAAAATTCATAATTCCAAAAGTAAACAGCCTAAATCGGACTGGTGAAACCTTACTGAATAGAGCGCCAACATTTAAAAAATGAGTATTGAAGACGATAAGTTAAAATTAATAATTTATAATAATAATTTATAATCTGATTCCTCATTCAGCCTGTCCTCTTTACTGCTGGAATCATCCAAAAGTGAATACGTCAGTTGCTCCATATTTTCTCATTTTGTTTTTTGCACGACAAATATTAGTTTTTCCTTTAGTTTTCAAGTTGATCATTTTCTTTATTGAAATGTATCAATACATTTTTCAACCTTGTTAGCCCTGCCAATTAAATGTCAAATTTACAATATGCACATTTTTGCTCGGCCAAATTCATTCTAATTAGTACTAATTTGCAGGTTCTGGAACACAACTAATGCATGTATAGAACGAGTTTTTTCAGTTATGAACTCAGTATGATTTGTTGGAAGCTCTTTTGAGAATAAATACTCAATTTTCAAATAATTCCATTTGCAGCAAAAATGTTGAGCCTACTAAAGAAATGTTAAAGCTTTATAATTATAAGAATTTACATAAACCAAATGAGACTGAATATGACGACGATTTGGAATTTGAAGTTTTTGACGTGGTTGCATTGCAACTTTAAAAACTGTAGTCCATGAAATTAAAATGATCCATTTATTTCTTATTTTCTATTTTATCTTATTTTACATGTATAATATGCAAGATAAACTAGTCTATGAATTGAATTATATGTACAAAAATATTTTTATACCCTCAGCCATATGGCTAAGGAGGGTATGTATCATTTGATAGGTCAAAACGTGCCAAGTCGAAAAAACGGTTTTAGACAATAGGATCTAGCGATGATCCAAATTTGGTGCATCCCTATACTTTTGTCAAACTTAGATCGAGTTTGGAGATGGGCAAAATCGGTCTACTCCATCAAGCAAAAGATCGAAATTTTGAAGTTCATAAAAAGCGAAATTAACATCCGATTCCATTCCAATTATATGTACAAAATATTTTTATACCCTCAGCCATATGGCTAAGGAGGGTATGTATCATTTGATAGGTCAAAACGTGCCAAGTCGAAAAAAACGGTTTTAGACAATAGGATCTAGCGATGATCCAAATTTGGTGCATCCCTATACTTTTGTCAAACTTAGATCGAGTTCGGAGATGGGCAAAATCGGTCCACTCCATCAAGCAAAAGATCGAAATTTTGAAGTTCATAAAAAGCGAAATTAACATCCGATTCCATTCCAGGCTTGGTACATCTAAATATTTCGATCAACACAAGATCTGTTATGAAGATATATATGATATATATCTGCGAAACCCTTCTGGTACAATTTGTATGAAAATGGAATACTTCGGTCGACTATATCTGGTACCTCAAGCACATTCCAACATTCTCTAAAATTTATTATATATTTCAAATAAAGTGAAGGAAGAAGCCAATATAGTCCAAACCGGGCACGTCGCAATATTTATATCATATGTATTCAGGTCCGACGTGAAATGGTCAATATTGATCAATTCCTTCTTAACCTACTCCATAGAGGGTAGACAATTTGAATAATCATAACAGAAGTCAAAATATATAAATGCTTGGGGATTTTTTTGGAGGAAATTGAATTAAATTTGAGGAGATTTGGGGAAAACGTTGATTTTGGGGACGAGAGACAGAAAAATACTGGCAACACTGCCACTAGAAGAATGGATAATTTCTTGTAAGATCATACTCCTTTTATACACATTTCCCTGCTTAAAACTACAGTAGCTTAAAAGGTAGTAGGGTTCAGAGATGTGAACTTGTGGTACTATTTACAGGGTTACATTTTAACCTTTAAGTTTAAATTTTTAAAAATTAGTGAAAACCTAAGCGCAATGCAATAAAAGAATAGTGGAATTCATGGTTAAAAATATAAAAGTAACTTAAAATAAATAAATTATAGTTGGTTTGCTTCAAGCTATATATTTAAGTTCACATCCTTAAGTAAATCGTCTTTGTACTTCGTCCGTAATGTCAAAGGTGTAAAAAATTATATTTTCCAAGGAGTGACATTTGTAATTGCCGCCTTTGCCGTAGTCTGCCAACACTACAAGAAATGAGGATGACGTCCTCCTGTTAAATCCACATTGCACAAAGATAAATTGCTTCACAAACAGAATAGTTAGTCCGCTGTTGTTTAAGAAAAAAATTTTTCCCTCAATCGAAGGTTATCATAATACACGTTTTTCAACTGTCCATAGGAAACATCGGCATTTGTAATAAAACATAACTAAATAAAATATAACTAAAACCGTTTGTCCCTCTTTATTTGCGTAACTGATAAATGATAGCTGATCACATACAATTGGTGTGTTCACGATAATTTATCATAACAGTATTTATTAAAAAATGAAAGCGCCATTTTCGTATAAATTTAGTGTTGATTCCTTCGGATGTCAACTACCCTACATTCGGTAAAAGACAATCAATTATTTATAAGACAATTACGTAGTTATGTTGAATTGAATAACCTTTAATATAAATATTACAATTTATTTTTAAGAAATTTAATTTTAATAGAATAATCTAAGGGATCGGTAGAGTACATCTATTATTTACAGACTTTGCCTGTCACAACATACGTAGTTCATTCGGTTTGTTTCTGATTTGCATTTAAAATGTCACTCACTATTTTGGATTAAAAAGTATACCTATATAGGCAATTCTCTTCCAGGAAGTATGGCAATTTCAATCAGAAAATTCAATCGAAATATTTTGCTACAGTCACTTAAATACCGAATTTTGGGAGGAACCGTTGTATAAGTGATATAGGATATCGTGGACCTATATAGACAATTCCATTCCAGGAATTAATGTTCTCTACTCGAACTTGAACTGCCTGCATACAAAGACAGATCGCTGCAAGAATTTACGCTAAATCCACTTAATTTACGCTAAAAAATATATATACATATACTTTGTTGGGTCTAAAATTATTATTTCGATGACTTACAAACGAAATGAAATATAATAGAAAATAGAAATACCTACATCAAATACGACGTTGCCTACAACTTGTATGGAGGGTATATTAAGTTCGTCATTCCGTTTGTAACTCATCGAAATAATCATTTTAGACATAACATAGTATATATGTTCTTGATCAGCGTAAAATTCTAGTTTAGCCCTGTTCGTCCGTCCGTCTATTGTAATCACGCTAAGGTCAAAACGAATAATTATAGGAAACTAAAATTTTGCGCATATCAGACTTTCGTCTGCAGGCAGGTCAAGTTCGAAGATGGCTTATATACCCATGATTCCACGAGCCCTTTTTGCGTCGGTTTGATATTCAGTAAAAATAACAACAAATGTTTTGATTTTCTTGTATGGGTGTGTAGCTGCTTGCTTTTGTGCGGTATTCGTGGTTGGTTCTGCACAGTAGGGTAAAACAGAAATTTATCACACTTTTGCAGAATACCTTACAGTTGGCGTTTTCAAACTGTCAATTTCCTTAACGTTGTTGATACTGCAGCAACTATAGTAAACTTCCACCTTCTTTTATAACCTCCACCATTCTATGGAAGGTATATTAGCTTTGTCATTCCGTTTGTAACTCCTGGAAATATTCATAATAGACCCTGCAAAGTACACATATATTCTGGATCAGCGTAGAATTCAGAGACAATCTAGCAATGTCTGTCTGTCCATCCGTCTCGATATCTTTCGAACGAATTGAGATAGATGGCTAAAATTTTGCATACATGCATAGTTTACCAGTAGACAGGTTAAGTTCGTAAGTGGGCCATCGGTACCTCCCGATAGTCGGTAATTCGATGATTTCAGCAACATTATTCACAAGAATCGTTTCAAATTTCGTATTGAAAGATCTTGATAGGTACTACAACCTATGGCAAATCGTATGCAGGTCCACGTCTTCGTATTGGCCCCATAAAACGGTACTCCCGTTATTCGGTATTTTCATGATTTCAGGGACATTATTTTTCGGAATTATTTCAAATTTCGTATTTGAAGTTCGTAATGGATCCTACAACCTATGACAAGAATTTTTGTATGCAGGTCCACGTCTTCGTATAGCCTTCGCATAGTCGATATTTTGACGATTTCAGCAACATTATTCACCGGAACCATTTTATATTTCGTATTTAAAGTTCGTAATGAATACTACGGTTATGATAAAAAATTTCGTAAGCATGTCCACGTCTTCGTATGGTCCCCATATAACGGTTTTCATTTAAGTGATAGTTTTCGGATTTTTTTTTTTTTTTTTGAAATATTTCAAGTTCCTTCCAAATGGTGGAGAGTATTAAAAATACGGCCCAGCCGAACTTAGCTGCTTTTTACTTGTTTTAAATAAAATTAGTTTCTGTCACAATGCACTACAACTCTTAAATCAGCACTGATTTTTTTAATGTCATTACCTAGCAGATTTTCTTCAGTTAATGAAATTCAAAATTTATCTTTGCCCAACTTCCACTAAAATCTTTTTTTTTTGCGAGTTCTACCTAAAATTGTCGAATACACCTCTCACCCGCTTTACTTGAGCTGCTAATACTGTCATTAGAAGTGTAGCTTATTTTGGACATATCGACGAATCACAATACCCTGTGTACAGTCTTGAGATTCCAAATTCAGAGATTAGGGAATTGTGGAATAAAGAATTGTGCACCTATGGTGAGTGTAAAAATACCTCACAACGCCCTACACTGAGCAGACTAATAGCTTTGATGTTGTTGACGAAAAATATAGTACTGCTTGCATTTCATATTTTATATATTTGTTTATTAACTAAAAGCATTGCCTTGATTTTGGTCTTATCATTTCTTTTTTCATAACATTGATTTTAAACAGCTGGTTTGTTTCTTTTGTGAAATAATTTATACAATCATCAACATTATAAATATCGAAGGAACGAGTAGCTGATAATATTGGAAAACAAGCTGAAGTAAAACATTTTAAAATGACTTTCCATGTGCCGAAGAGCAGCATTTGAGTGGTGTAGTGTGTATGCTAAAATTAAATGATAAATTCAGGAAAATATCGTTAGATGAATTCCATAGCTGACCACGCATTAGTGCACTTAGAGCTCGTCGAATGGGAGTAGGGTCTTGGACTACCTATAGTGAACGAACGGGAGTGAGAAAGCTTTCAGTCCTTGAGCGAAAAGAATGATTTGTGTAATCATCAATTGGACAATAATTCCACCTTTACTTTGTTTACAAAAATGCGTGGACTCAGAACGTGATTCTTTGGGAGGAAGGGTTTGGAAGGGTCTAATTCGTTTCTTTCTGCATGTTACAAACAAATGCACAGAGACATAATACAGTGTAGCGCAGGGTATAACAATAAGCTATTAACCTCAATAAATACCGGCATAACAAAGACTTCTTACAGGTTTAATAATTATTTATATTGGCAGAATAATATTTATTGAAAGACTTCATTTTGATTATATTCTTTAATGATTTAACACAAGGGTTGACATTTCTATAGATTAAACCAGACAGATGTTTGATATTAAAACAATTATTATTTCCTTATCAAAATGTTAACGATGATCGCATATGTTTGTGCATTTCTTTTCAGTTTAACATTATACGTTTCACAATGTGAAATCAACCGTAAGAGTACGCTGACCTTAGTTATTTGAATCAGTCACATATAGAGTATCGTTCAACAATAGTTAGTTATTCAAAAATTCGGTGAAATTACATGTTCTGCAAAGTATAGAGAACTTGTCAAATCATACCTCTTATTTAATGTGACGGAAGACCGTTTTTATACCCTCCACCTTGTAAAGGAGGATATATTAACTTTTTCATTCCGATTATAACATCCCCATACATTCGTCATAGACCCCATAAAGTATATATATTCGTATTCAAACTAAAGACAAGGGGACTGATGAGGATTGGTGGTTCCTTCCTAGACCTAGGTATACCCTGCTTTACCCCTGGTAAACATTACCATCTTATTCCACTAATAAACAAACGTTGTATTTATATAAACAACAATAATGGGATTTGCAAGAACAAATTCATATTCATATTCAGCATAAATTCTAGGTCGAATTAACGATGCCCATTTGTTGAAATCTAGGTACAGCCCACAATATTTGACGCAGAGCTTCAAAATTCGGCATAACAGTTTTTGGTTGGTTTTGAAAATGAAAAACCAAAAAATAAAAATGATATATATGTCCACGTTTTCGTATAACCCAATATAACGAAACCTCCCGATATTCGGTATATTGATGATTTTGCCAAATTTTTCCATGGATTTATATAAATATATCCCCAGTTACTGATGTATGCAGAAGATGTAATGATATTCTTAACACACAAGTCCGGTGAAAAACCAGTTTTATTGCAATATGAACTCAACAACCTGTTTTCATGGTGCTATTTAAATTTCATGGACTTAAATTTAAAAAAATGTAAACACATGTGCTTTTCACGATCTGTTCCTTTATCAACTGTGTATAATATTAACGGGAACATTTTAACATCCGTGAAATCCTTTGATTATTGGAACAGTGGCTTTGCATTACCGCCCTATACTAGCAGACTAAAATCAATTCGATTACCTACACTAAAAAATAGACGTATTATGTTCAATACCATAATGGCATATAAAATCTTAGATGGTAACGTACCTTCGGTCTCTCTTATTTCCTCTTTCAGAATTAATATCCAATTTAGATTAGGCAGGTATTATCAGTTTTTAAATATTGAGTTTCACCAAACTAATTACTCTATGGGTGAACCTATAAGTAGAATGTGTCTAGACTTCAATTCTTTGTATGATGTCGTAGATTTTGGTACTAGTATTGACATAACAAAATATAGAATAATTATGTATCTAAATGAGTAGCAATAAATTTTTTTCCACCGGCTGATGAAGTATTTTCTGTAGCTGGTATTTCAATGCCTACTAATTTTCCACCATGGTACGGATTATGGTGAGTACGCGATTCCTACGTAATGGAGAGGTCGCCCGACGGTCGGTTGGGGTGAGAAAGAGTGGCGTTGGGAACCTTCGAACGTTCGAAAAGAATATGGTATTTGTAGCTCATGATGGGTTCCAGCTCCAGTGGTGGAATATTGTACATATAGGTCCACGTTTTCGTATAGCCGCCATATAACGGTACCTCCCAATATTCGCTATTTTGACGGTTTTAATAACATTTATTTACGGATTTGTGTAAAATTGGCATTTGTAGTTCGCAATGGATTCCAGCTCCGGTGGCGGAACATTGTTTTTTAGCGCACAAATAACGGTAACCACCGATATTCGATATCTGGATGATTTTTGACATATTTTTAACGGATTTGTCTAATGCTATGTTCTCATTGCACTTTCAATCAAGTGGATCGCTCTCAGAATTAGGTACACGAATTAACCCGTTCATACGACATGATTCGTAATTCATAGTAAAATAATTCCTTTTTTTCCAATATTTTGTTTGTTTATTTTAATGGGAATTTAACGAAAATACATTAAATTCTCACTAATAGGAATAGAAGAAATTATTGTTTTTTTTTAACATTTATTATATCATTAATTTTAAAACTTTCATTCATGTTTTTAACTTTTTATGTGAATGTTGACATTTTGAACATATTTTTCTATTTTTAAATTCTGCTGCAGACACTTCTCAAACATTTTTTCTGCCGATAAAAATATTTTTAAAATATTGCCCCAGTTTTTGTTGGAAATTTCAACTCGTGGACAAAATACGTACCTCGAATGAGAGAGAAAACAGAATTTACATTGTAGTTTTCATTCCCAAATTTTTTTAAAATTTCATTAAATTTTTCTATTTTGAATTTTTAAATGTCATAATTTATTATTTCGATAAATGCTTCCATTTGTTAGGGTTGGCACACATTTCATCTTAGTTCTAAGAGTAATTTGAATGGAACAAAGGACAAAATTTTTTGTTCGCTCAGCAAATTTTGAGTGGTGAATTATGTAGATATTTCTTAGTTAATAGTCGTAATAGGTTCTAGCTCCCGTGGCGCATCATTGTATATATATTTTGATAATTCTAGTCACATTTGCCCATGAAATTGTTTCAAATTTGGTATTTAAGAAAAATTGGTAGATAACAACCCTTGAAGTGTAAAATCACCCATATAGGTTCCCTGTTGGTATGGCCACCATATAAAGACGTCATCCACTTTATTGTTTTTTGAAAAGTTTGAAGTGGAACATGTTTGAATCCAGATTCCTTTATACAAAAATGTTTTCTTAAACCAATGATGGAGAGTATTAACAGTTCGGTTCGGCCGAACTTAATATTTTTTACTTGTTAGTAGTATAGCTTCTAAAAACAACCCTTCTAACATTCTTACCAGACATCATAGACACTGCAAATAATACTTCAAGTGCCAACCGAAAAATATTACACCTTACTGATTTGGAGAACATATTATATACCAAAATGCTCGTAAGAGCTTCCACTGTCATTTGGCATTCACGGGTTCTTGAACCTTCTTAAATGGAGACTTCCAGAGCCAGATTTCCGTCCTGACCATCAGTTGAATATCACAAAAATGGGTTTACGCGGTTTGCTGAAAGTTTCCAAGTATACTACAACATCGCCTGAAAGTAATATAGGCTACATAATTTTTTAAATCAACTCGATATATTTCGACTATTTCAGGAGTAGATTATTAACCGGGTATTTTGAAGGGGTTTACCGTGTCCTAGGTCTTCACAAATATATACAGAAGCGAGGTCTACGAAATTCGATTTCATGGTATATTTGTGAGAATTCCACAAACGTCCCAAGGAGAAAACAAATATTTTCATAAAACACTGACTTTGTCGAGTGCCGCAAGCGTATATACGGATGTGAATGCACATAAACTGGATGAATATTTGGACTGTGAAAATTATGTCGTTGACTGGGTCAATCAACACGATTACCAATTAGTAAGGAAATTGGGCAGAGGAAAATATTTTGAAGTGTTTGAAGCTATAAAACTGACCAACATTAAAAAATGCGTTGTTAAAATTCTAAAGCCTGTTGAAAAGAAGAAGATTAAGCGAGAAATAAAAATTTTGGTAAACTTACACGGAGGCACCAACATTATAACACCGTTAGCCATGGTAAAAGACCCAGTATCACACACTCCTGTCTTAATTTTTAAACATGTTAATAATACAGATTTCAAGCAGATGTACCAAACACTAACAGATTATGAAATACGATACTACCTGTTCGTGTTGTTGGAAGCACTCGATTATTGCCACAGTATGGGAATTATGCACCGCGATGTGAAGCCTCACAATGTTATGATTGATCATGAAAATCGCACATTGCGTTTAATAAATTGGGGTCTAGCTGAATTCTATCATCCTGGCCAAAAGTACAATATTCGGGTAGCATCACGCTATTTTAAAGGGCCCGAATTATTAGTAGATTATCAAATGTATGATTACTCTCTGGATATGTGGTCATTAGGCTGCATGTTAGCATCAATGATTTTCCGCCAAAACCATTTTTCAATGGACATGATAATTACGATCGACTTGTTCGTATAGCGAAAGTCCTGGGCACTGAAGAACTGTATGCTTATTTGGATAAGTACAATATTGAATTAGATCGAAGATTCCATGATATTTTGCAAAGGCATTCACGCAAACGGTGGAAACGTTTTGTTCATTCCGACAATCAGCATCTTGTGTCGCCAGAAGCACTTAATTTTCTTGCTTTTACGTTATGATCATGTTGAGCGTTTAACTGCACGTGAAGCAATGGCTATTGTTAATGGCCAAATTAAGTCCAACAATCAACAGTAGAAATACTAATTAAATCAGCAAACAATATGGTGAAAACGTTTCAGATTTGGATATAGCTCCCATATATATTCTCGACCGATTTCGTTTATTTGATGCACCAAACACGATATGTATGTTCGAATCCAGTGAAATTTGGAATGTGTGACGGGATTTGACCAGAAAATAAATTTGCCAAATTATATTGAAATCGGTTCATATTCGGATATAGCTCCCATATATATTTTCGGCCGATTTTCCTTACTAATTGGTAATCGTCTTGATTGACCCAGTCAACGACATAATTTTCATAGTCCAAATATTCATCCAGTTTATGTGCATTCACATCCGTATATACGCGTGCGGCACTCGACAAAGTCATCGTTTTATAAAAATATTTGTTTTCTACTTGGGACGTTTGTGGAATTCTCACAAATATACCTTGAAATCGAATTTCGTAGACCTCGCTTCTGTATATATTTGTGAAGACCTAGGACACGGTTAATAATCTTACTGCTGAAATAGTCGAAATATATCGAGTTGATTTAAAAAATTATGTAGCCTATATTACTTTTAGGCGATGTTGTAGTATACTTGGAAACTTTCAGCAAAATCTGTTCAGCCAGGAAACAGGAGGTAGCAAAAGCCATTGAAAATAAAAACATCGCACAAAGCAATGTAAAAAAGTGATTAAAAATCAGTCAAAAATTGTATATGGTAAAACCTTTTCTAGTTTATATATATATATATATATATATATACATGCATGGTACAATGAAGAGAAGGTAGGCCAACTTTGAAAAAATCGCAAGTATACCTGTTTGGCTTGTAATACCTGTTTGGCTTGTAATGTCAGAATTAGTATCAAAACAATAAAAAAATCAAACAATTTGTTGCATTTATTTTGAATAAATAATTGAAAACCGCGAAAACTGAATAAAAGGTCAACACTTCTTTTCAAAACCAAGTTCTATATATCTCTAAAGGATTATTTCGCTACAAAAACTCTAGATTTTGTCGATGCATACGTTGAAATAAACATTTTGAAAACACCCGAATTTGAATGTTTTCTGAACAATTTTATATATATATATATATATATATATATATATATATATATATATATATATATATATATATATATATATATATATATTTTGTAAATATATATATATATATATATATATATATATATATATATATATATATATATATATATATAGATATATATATATATATATATATATATATATATATATATATGTGTGTGTGTGTGTGTGTGTGTGTGTGTGTGTATATACATCGGCCGATTAATGTTCTTACTTGCCAAAGAGGTCAGCTGAAAATGTGTACCTTCGGTTGGCCACCAGAACTCAAGCGCCGGCCATGGTGATGGTGTGGGCCGCCATACATCCGATGGTCGCTCTCCGCTCGCATTAATCGACCGTGGCTTCAGAATAAATGCCGAATATTATCGCGAAAATATTCTGGAGGGTGTATTAAAGGGCACGCAAACATTTTGCTCGCAGACCTTGGACATTCTAACAGGACAACAGGCTACCAGTAGAAATGACAGCAGTCTGAAATTGGTTGCAGTTTTTCCATCTCACTATAGTACGTCACCACCTTTCTTTTTTTGGTTTTGGTCTTGTAAGCCCCGAATATGAGTTAATTCGCCAGTTTTTTTCCATATGTAAGGAAAACAGAAAAAGTCCAGTATCAACATTCCCCTTTATAGAGGAAGATGCTTTACATTTTGAAACATGTTTGCAGTTTCCGGAACCAGTTCGTCAAGTTTCTGCTTTATGTCATTTAGGTCGGACCCGAAATTCAGACCCGCGAATTACAAGAGATTCTTGTTTTTGATTTTGATTCTATTATGGAGGCGTGTAACTTTGGGTCAGCAAGATATAATTGCTTTAATGTTTCTTTAAGTTCCTGATTTTAAACACACAGCCTGGCATTGAAGGCTTTAGTGAAAATATTCATTCTTAAAATATTTTTTAATAAATTTTCGATCGTGAATTCAATTTTTGTGTACCTGTTTTTTTC